GTGGGTGGTAGGGGGGGGGGGTTGAGGAAAAAAAGAGACGCAATAACAGATGTGCACACAGGCAGGATTTAATGTGTGATGCACATGTAAAGACTGATAGAGCAGAGACGGAGTATTTGAGTACAACTCCAACACAAAGAGCCTCCACAGAGCTCGAGTGCTTTGTGTCTGCAGTATGAGGTTGTAACCAGGAACAACCGGTCGGGCACACATTTTTGTCTGTTAAACCACAGACCTTATCAATCACAGTGACATGGGTGCTATAAGTTCTCTAATCTAATGAGAGTGTAGAAATAAGCAAAGTGTCTCCAACGAGCACTGCAGTTCTCAGGAAGACTTTACAACTTGGTGCTTTTATGGCATTCAGTGGATGCATGCCTTGCTCCATCATCCACATATACAGTCATTTAGTTCTTTCTGTGGATAAAAACTGCATTAGTCACTAAAATGATACAAAAAGGCCAAAGATTTGAGTAATGGGAAGTGGCGTTTTATTCATTTATGTATTTATTGTCATTTTCCCTTTATCTTGTTTTCTGCTATAGCGATGCATTAGCCTTCAGAGAAGCTATCAATCAGGGGCTAATGGGTTGTAATTGCAGGCAGGCAGGACCCCACATCAGAGGCTGGATGGCAGAATAATCACACGTACAGTAGAAAATCCCTGGGTGATTTCAGGGGGTATAGGTTAAGGTAATTTCCAACTCATTTTCCTTTTGAAACTTATCATACTCATCCCAATGACGTCTCACATTAATCAACAAGGTTAGTGAGGGGTTAAAACAGACAGACAAAACAAATTAAAAGGGGATTTCAGAAAAAGACAAAAAAAACCTCCTTGCTGTTTAGTCACTGGATCCCGTAATGTTACTGGGGATTCCAGGGAAGAATGGTTCCCATTTTGTTTTTCTGAAATCGCTCTATGAGCATACCTGCACTGCCAGAGCCAATTCCCCCAAAGATTTCCAAGAAGCCAGCCACCTGACCATGGTGTCTGATGCTATCTCCACAGCTGTACGTGACAGTCAGTTGATCTCTGTTAAATGCCTGAGCCATCAGACACTACCCAACACACACACCGTAAAACAGCCACAAACAAACAGCAGAGGCTGATAAGACTGTACTAAATCAGTTAGGGTTAAACTCTAGAAAACACGGTGTCTGTTTTGCTGCCTTTTCTCATGGGAGGACTTGTATTGTTTGTCAGAGAACTGGAATGGAAATCCCCTGTGAGGCAGAATTCACACCTCACCTTTTTCATCTTTGCAGAGCTAAAGGAAGGCACACTACAAAACAACATCTTATCTTATACTAGCTGTTCAGGGGAGAGTCAGTGCTTTGGATTGAAGGTACCAAAGCTGGTCAGGTGCTTTGGATTTCTGAAATTTGGGAAGTTTATTATTACCTCAAAACACTGTGGTGCAAACACAAGAAAGGCCAGTGAAAAAAATCAACAATTTGAGCTATAGGTACATTTTGGAAATTTAATTTACATGGCTCCTTATGTGCAGTTCCTCTATATTGTGTGAATTATAGAAAAATGCCCTGGCCTGACATTTGACATATTACTGACCGGGAATATTTCAAACAGCTCTAAGTAATGTTATTTCTACAGTGTGGAAGTATTATTAAAATTTTATTATTGGCAGCAAACAAAATGTACTGATGCTATAAACACCTCCATTTATCTCTGCTTCTGCATATTTCATTTACATTAAAATCTACCTAACCATATACCACTAGATTTTATTTTGATAATAAGCATCTTATTATCCTGATATTTGTGTTTACTTAAACAAAACAATACACAGATGTTATGCTATTACTTGTGTTTAATGATGAAAAGTATCGGTGGAGGTTTTGTAAATCCCAGCATTGTTTTTACTTGGTATCAGATTACAATCACAAGTCATTTATTGTCAGAAAGGCATTTATAAATTGTATGCTTGGTACATTTTGTTGTTCAGTAAACCATTTTCTAGAGATGTTTCTTTTAAGTATGACTGTGTTTTTATTAATACCAAGAATAGGCTCTTTTTCTGAGTGTGTACAGTAATACATCAGCATATCATGGAGCTTAACAGCAACATTGTACATTCAGTGACGACTGATGAAAAACCCCTTTAAATAGGAGTAGTCATTAATTAGGCTCGTGACTTACAGTGCCTGTGCAGACAATGTGATTTCAATGAGGATTTTAATAAAATTCATGAGTTCATAGAGGCACGCACACACACACGCACACACACACACACACACACATAGTTTGATTATTTTTTCCCATCGTGCACCTCTAGATTTTGCTCATTTCAACGCAGCCGTCCCATCTTCAAAACTCTGCGGGCATTTCCAGCACGCAGCTGCACATGATATCTAATATGGAAAAAGAGCATTGCAGATGAATGAATGTCATTTGCAGAGACTGCTTGCTGAGGGAGTGAGAGAGCAAGAGACCACAAGAGAAAGAGAGCGAGAGAAAGTGAAAGAGAGAGAGAGAGATAGAGGAGGGGGCTGATTGAAGGTCTTAATGTTTCATTTTAGCAGCAATTTGAAGATGTTTTCACCCCCCAGGAGTGTCACTCAAAAGCTCTCAGGGAAAAGCCTCCGAGTGGAGACAATCTTTACATCTGGGACTTGCAAATCACAGAGGCAAGAGATCACGATATATCCCTGTACGAAGCCTAAATCGTCTCTTTTCTCTCAATCTCTCGTGTTTTTTTTTTTTCCTGACAAGTCCCAGAAGAACCAGCTTTTCTTTATTTTTTCTTCTCCCAGGTTCTCCCCCGTGATGACTGCTATAATTAAAGAGACTGGCAGTGGGAGGGGGCTTCTACGGCTGTAGTCCAACTCATTACCAGATGTTTCGAGGTCACTCCAGTTTATACACACACCCACGCACACCGAAGAGTTTCACACTGTTGAGTGAGAATAATAATAAAAAATAAAAAAACCCAGATACATTCATGTGGACTGATTCTTAGTGTTGATAGTGCGTTTGTCATTCATTTTAAAAGGTGAAAGTGAGAAGGAAAAAAAACAAAAACACCGTGCTGAGGATTTTTCACAACCCTGTCTAAACATGGTTCGACACAGAAGACAAAGATTTCAAGTAAAACACAAGGCCTTCAATTTCTCTGTCAGGATAAAACCATGATCTATGCTTTCTTTGGCAGACAGCGCTGTCATATCCATCCACTACCTCAGACAGGAAACTCATACTATATATTATAATGTTAATGTGTAAATGGTTAAGCTCCTCTTGATCGACAGGTAAAATGAACATCTGTGCCTGACTTTATCAGAAGGAAACATGTGCCTAGCTTCCTCCTGTCTGTCGGGAAACAACATTTTAACAGAGAGAAATTATGAGAATGTTCCTTACAACAATCTGATGAGGAAATATGTGCAGCCCTATCATGATGTGTTTGTCATGTAAACACATTCTTACCTCTGTTTTGGGCTTGAGTGTTTTTCAACAAACATGTTGTGCCCTCTATAATGTCAAGAATCGCTCATGCAAGGATATAATATTGCTAAATATTTGTAACTTTGCTGATATAAACGCAAACATTCACTTGTTTGAAAATGAAATGAAACTAAAATTAAAAGTACCGTCAGTTCATTATAATCCCATTTGTAGGTTAACCCATCTTTGTTAGCACAGGGTTTGGATTTCATGTTAAAAATGTCCTGCTCAGACTTGAGATATGCACATATAATTTGATATTCACACAAATATTCCGTTGTGAGAACACAGGAACATTTTTTTTCAAGTTCAAGTTCAAGTCTTGTGAATGAATCTCCAGTTTCATTTGACCCGTGGTCAGATTCTGCACGAATTCTGGCTGGTGCCTCAGACCCTGATGTGACCCCTGCCCATAAAGCCCATGGAAGTATGCCAAGCCAGCAGCAGACTCGAACCTGAAGTAGCCCCGGACCTACATAATGCCTGGTGATTGTCCATTTTGCTACAAGAGGAAAGCAGCCCCTTGTCTTACGGCTTATCTGGCATCAAAACCCTCTTAATTGCAGATTCATGTGATGCTGAACGTTGCAAATAACATTCTGGTAAGGCAGTGTTCCACGCTGCACCACATGAAAGGATCAAGTGACAAAAATCTTCAGTAATAGTGAAACTAGAAGCAGGGACTGTGGAAAAAAAAAACAAATAGATCAGGAATCCAGCAGATGGATCCAAACCTTTGCTGTACTAACATGAGCCAAGACCAGCAAAGCTCCCCATCGCCTCCATCTCATGACTGTTTCCGGAAGGTGAAAATATCCCGGGTTTTGGAGCCTTTCTTCCCCTCTAACGGAGGCGTGGGGGTGGGGTTTGGTGAGGGCGAGGGCGTGGATGACGGGGAGGGAGAACAGGGCTGGGGGGTGGAGGTGCCTCCATAGGGGCAGCTCTGCGAGTCTGGATGTTCACCAGAACACTCCACAGTGGGGATGTAGCGGCTGTCCCACATCCCCGGACCACACAGTTTACAGAGGTCATGTAGGCTGCATGGGATTCTGGGGAGGAGGCGAAACTGGTAGAGTAGGCTGCGGGCCTGGTGGAACAGGAAGAAAAATGGCAAGATGAACTAAAATATATTGCAGATATCAAACATTGTGCCTTAAAACATTAAAACAAATCAATACCCTTGAATCCAGCTTAAAATTATAACAACAACGTCAAGGTGCAAAGCATTGCGGGTTGTGTTTCCCCTAAAGCCCTAAAATGCCGGCGTGCCTGCTCTGGGTGCAAAATCTCAGGCAACAACAAAAGGAGTAACACCAGCTGCATGCTAACATGAACTCGCTGCCTGTGGTTGCAGTAGCACTAACACAGCATCCATAAACATGAGGACACAGGCAAACACTCAGTAGCAGGGATGCAGATCATAAATCTTCTACATGGCATGGCAGCATCCCATTTAGTAGCTCAAGGCCTCTGTGGGCAGGTTACAGTATATCAGAGCTGCTTTGCTGCAGCATTGCGGAGGGCTACTTGATGCAAACACACTAGTTTGAATTAAATGTAATGCAGCAGTCGGTGGAGGAATTGTTATGAGCGAGCTCATAAACCACAGACTATTCAGATATTCTGAGATTAATGGATACCCATGTACACAGATGCAGAGTAACTAAAAGGAGCCATGCAAACACAATCGTGACTGTGATACCTTGCGTAGCACAAGTTCTCCATTCATGTGCATGGAGAGGTTGCTGAAGTGGAGCAACATTTGGTCAGTGGCGAGCTGCTGTTCTGTCACATCCTCCCCGTAGAGAACAATGATGGCCACACACAGGAACAGGTGGAAGTAGTCCGTCTATGAAGAGAGGGAAAGAGGGTTAGGTCAATACAGGAAGACAAAGGCAGGAATAACTGCAAGTTCTTTGGGACTTGAAAACATAACATCCCAAAATGCAATGACAATGTGGTCTCAGATCTCTGTATTTAGTTTTGAGGCTTACTAGAGAGCAATGAGAGATAAAGAGCAGATATGCACAAAAAAAAACTGAAGTCCAGTTCAAGAAAAATGCTAATTATAAGTGTCTAGTATTTGTACATTTAAGCTTAAAGATGCACAGTGAATTAAGGGCTTAGTTTGAAAAAGAGAGTTTCACAGTTGGATGACTTTTTGTACTGTGGTTTTGTGCGTATGTGTAATGTTGTTTATTACATCCAAGTGTATGTAAATCTAAATATTCTAAAAGACAAAAGCCGGCAAGCACAATCTATTGTGATATATGGCATAATATTTGATGCCTCCCTTTTCACAGAAAAATCAGATATCAATCAGAAATTCTTCCTTCTGGCCCATGTGATATTCAACTGTCTAAACCGAGGTTTCACTCCGCTATCGCCTCCATCAGCACCTGTAGCTGAACATCAGAACATGTAGCAGGGAGTGTGAACAGATGGCATGAAGCAAAGACTGATATTTGACTCTGCCTCAGTAAGAGGAGGTGTTAAGCTCTGTGTCATGGCAGTGAGCACAACAGAGACACAAATTTACTGATTCAAGACAGAGGGGGAATTTATACTAAAGACTCTGCTTTAGCTTCCATGCTTCAGATACTGCTGGAAATATAATGCACTACATAAATACACACTATATATATATATATATATATATATATATATAGTGTATAGCAGTTTTTAATATACATCTGTACAGCTGTTGTGCTTTTAGGAAGTATTGAAATGTATGAATTTAGAGTAAATCAAAATGTTGGATTTTATACGTTGAATCTTTAATGAAACACTCTCTAATCCCTGTTGAATTAAACCATTAAACCCCTCCAAAACCAAGAAGTAATGTGACATGTTAAAGGGAATTTAGGAGGATTACAATAGTCGGTGGTGACAGGATATAAAGGAATAACGTGGAAATCTTTTTATTGCAAACAATGTTATCTGTACATTGAAAAATCATCCAAAATTTGGTGCCGCTGTGAAACAGTCCAACGCGTCTGTCCGCTCATTTATGCAAAGTTTTTCTTACAAACTTGTGTATGCAAAGGAGTCGTTGGGACTTTGCCCTGACCTGGTAGTGTGCCCAGCAGGCCTCCCACATGCGCAGAGCCTCGGTGTCGGGGAACTCTCGTTTGAAGCAGAGCAGGATCCAGCGGTGGCAGAAGAGCAGCTGCAGGCCGTCCTCCCCCAGCCTGGTCAGGTGCTGGTGGAAGCGGGGCAGCATGAGACGCAGCAGCTCCCGCAGGTACATCTGGGAGCAGGTCAGAGAGGGCACACGCTGTCTTACAAACACATTTTCTAGTGGTATTTTAGTATTCTTAGGCTGGAATTATGCTTTTCCGGGCTGCACATAAGCGAAATAACACAGGTGTGCTGACACGTTTGTGTGTGCGTTTCTTTGATATATTATATGAGTTCACAAGGAAGCAGATGAGTCACATTTATCAAACCACAATGGAGAGAAAACATACACGAAATCAGGAAATGGAAATTAATTCATCCCCCAGTGAACGTGCAACTGTATGTGTTAAAGACACGAGAAAGAATTTGCATTCATTATCATAAATGGACAATGACAAGATGGGCAATGATAATAAGTGCCTTGAAGGGGAATTTCTACTGTATGCTCTGCTAGAAGAGCACTTGTGGCAGTACTACTATTCTGAAATGTACGCCCCAAAAAATAGAGAAAATCTCCAGACTGGATGTTGGATCAACCAATCAAGTCACTTGACACACAGGTCCAAATGTCTACAGAAGCATAATTCCATCTTTTTTCTAGTTCTATGCTACAACCTGACATTTTTCCTAACTCAGAGACACACACACAGAAACATCCTACCAGCTGCCTCTCCATGTCTTCATCACGTGGTGAGCTAATGAAGATGGTGTTCTCCATGAGGCCGACGAAGCACCAGAAGGTGTCGCTTTCATCCTGGATCTCAGTGAGCAGTGGGGCCACCAGGTCAGACATGCCCTGGCAGTAGCCCATGTCAGGATTAAACACTGCATAGTTGAGCAGAATCCGCCTACGGCAAGAAGAGCCACAGTTGTAACATCTCAGCAGAAAAAAAGAATATCTAACACAATTTAGCAACAGAGTCTCATAAACACTTACATTTTTGCTTTTTTTTTTGAGTCTCTAATATAGAAAAGTTCACGATCCTGCAGCAGCCCGGCCAAACCACTGAACAGAATGGTCCCACCCAAACACTCTGAATGATCCAACATGTGTTTCAGCATTGCTGGTAATGCCCAGAAAAAACATGACAAGTGCTGCTTTAGCGGTTGCTATGCCAACTCCTCTGGTAACCAGGGAGCTAATTAATGATCTTTCTTGTTTTTCCCCTTTTTTATGTATATGGATACTACTTTGAAGTAAATTTCCTGCGCAGCTCTCATCGGAAAACCTTGAGGACATTTTTATTGTTATTAGTGTGCTATTTTAAAAAGAAAAAATTGATCATTTGGAAAAAAACTAAGACAGGGAAGCAGACTTTGAAGTAGTTTTGTGTTTGGAAAATCACAAGAAGAGTAGTATCTTGAATGTGCCAGACAAAATTATCTGTGACACATCAGTACAATAGATGTGAGATATCTGAGGAAGCATGAGATAAGTGCTCTCCATGTGGACATATGCAGCGCTGGTATCACCCTGCCCCAGAAACATCATAATACCTAGACAAACACCAGAAGCCTCGATGAGAGTCACTAAACTAATATGCTATTTAAATCCTCATGCTCCTCGTTTAGAAAGCCATTAGCTCTGAGTATGCATCAAAAGTGCTCAGACGGCTTAGTCAGAGTCAATAAAGCATGAAACTCATTTGCGGCTCCCCCAGGGTTCAGAATATGAAATGAATAGGTACGCCTGTGCGTTGGGCTGAGGAATGGGAATGATAACGATGGATTGAGAGAAGGTGAGAGAAGGAGAGGACATAGATAGAGATTGGGGGAGGAACAAAAAAAATTAAAAGAGGATGAAGGGGGAAAATGAAGAGTGATTGTGGTCTGACCTCATGATCTCCACATTGGGGTTGTTCTCTCCTCTGAAGAAGTGGTTGCTGCGGTCTGTTCTCACCACGTCTTTATCCACTGTGAACTGGACCTTTCTCCAAAACTCGCTGTGCTCTTCCGGGCTCATGGACAATCTGAATTATACACACAAACAGTGGGAGGAAATGAAAAAGTTAGATACAAAAAAGCAAAACTGAATGTTGCTGCCGCTTTATTAAGACAAGTGACCTCGCCAGGAGTTATTTTTTGGTGCTGATTGTTTGTTTGTTTGTCTGTCAGTAAGATTACGGAAAATCTACTGGCCTGATTCTCAGTGTAGCATGGGCCAAGGTAGAACCCATTACATTTTGGAGTGGATCGGAATCACAGGGTGGATACACAAATAATTTCACTTTTGTTAACATTGCAAAATAGATCAATTGTAATACATACATATATAGTGGTTGCGTTTGCAGATTTTCATACCATACAAGACTGGATTATTGCTCTTGGTGGAGGTCTGTGCTCTCTGAGAACCCTTAAAGTTTCCAAAGTTGTGACAATTTAACAAGACAGAAACTTAGGAAAGTTTTTACCGCACAATCTCCAAGGAAATTAAGGTAATTATGATTAAAAAAAAATAATAATAATAGCATCAAATAAACTTTACCTCAAATGTTACTCTGGTGTAAAACATGAATGGTTATCTGCAAATGAGCTAAGAAATGTGGGGGTGGGCAGGCAGTGGACTGAGGGGGTATCTCACCCGTAAGAGCTCCACTGAGGATAATACCACAACCATAAAACCCCCATCTATCCCTCTAAATGTTAGGGACCATATTAGCAATGTACTCTGTGTATGGTACTAATGTACTCAAGTCCTAACAAGCAGAGGGGATTTAATTAACACTGTTTGTTTTCCATGTTGCCCCACCAGGAATAATGAGTGCACACCTGATGCAACGCCACGCAACTGTTTAGTCGCAGTGCTGAGTGTTTGTGTCGTTGGTCTCTCTCTCTCTCTCTCGTGAGTATGCTACTCAGGAGTTCAGTACAGGTTTTCATCACTTTATATTTCTGGGGCCGGTGTGATAAATTTAACATAGGAATATTACATATTACAGGAACATCGCCGTACCACTGCCCTGGACTGATAAATATATATATTTTTATTCATTTACAGACTAATTTGCTAATTTGCAATGCCTCTTCCTAGATAGGCCTAACTATACACAAATCCCAACAAAGAAATTCACACAAAATGGCAAAAAGTACAAAGAATGATACAATAAGATCCAGGCTAAATTTACTAATATGCACCAGATTATTCCCATGGTCAGCCATGGGAATAATCTCATGAATCAGATTTGTACAATTAAGCAATTAATCGATCAACAGAAAATGTATCAATTTTGAAAATCGATTAATTGTTTAAAGTATTTTTTTTTCAAGCAAAAAACTTCAAAGATGCTCTGGTTTCATATTCAAAAATGTGAGAATTTTGTGTGAATTAATTACTTGAATATTTGAAAAAATAAGCAAGAATGAAAATAATCATTAGTTGCAGTCTTGGTCTGAAAATATGTGAAGGAGGCAAAGAGAATGTTACTGACAGAGCAAACTTCCTCTTTTCTTGCACAAATCTAAACCGAAAAAGTGCTATTGTTTTATTTAAGTCACTGGTGCATGGAAAATGAAACACAAGCACTTCTTCTCCAAGCCAGCCAGAAAGTAAATTCTCTTATTAGAAGCATGCAGCGTGTCATGCATTACCTGGAAACTCAGTAAACTCAGTTGTTATTTATTATTGAAAAAATTAAAACCAATAAATACATTAAAAAACAAAAAAACAAAACAAAACGGAAGGTCATCTAAAGTCTGCCATTTGGTGATTGTGTAGCATTTTTCCCACAATGACAATATCCTAAATGTTCACTCACTGCCTGTTGAAGTGTTTTTACTCGTTACAGCTGCATCACTTCCACTAGCAGCTGCTTAGTTATCCCAGCTGAGGGAAGGACACATGGTTAGGAGATGAGGAACAAAACCCCGGACATGTATCCTTTCTCCTAATGATCAACTAGTGGCCCTGGAGGCTGCTCTAGTCAAACGGTCTTTAAAGGAATCCACATCAGAGTCAGAACAAGAGCTCTAATTACCTGACTTCAAAATGTTAATAGGCCATACAGATGAAATCTGTCCAATTATCATATTCACCATAGACAGAGCAGCTCAACGTGTGAAAATATGTGCACACTCAACCTTTTGGTTGGTGGGGTGAAGACAAATAGACTCACGTGTGTGTATGTGTGTGTGTGTGTGTGTGTGTGAGTTGTTTTTTCCTCTCCTTCTGATGAGTATTATCTGATAAGCACTGACATGTTTTTTCTCCAGAGACCTTTTATTTCACACCCGGCACCTCCCTTTAACACTTCCCTGGTTGTGCCTATTGATTGCGCAGCGGCTGCGATGAGAAGCCACAGCAGACTCACATATGGTTTAATGTTTGACAGTCTGAGCGTTTGGCAGCCGATACTGCAGCCATGTGTCACTTTAACAATGTCAAGAATACTGCTGTGTCTTATCTAATTGATTTCCCTGTCAAATAAACCTTTTTTTATACATTATCAGCAGCCAGAAAATATCCCCCATATTTCTATATAACCCACATATGTATTTCTTTCTCCCTGTTCCCCACCTCCTCTGCTGGATGTCATGATAGTCGGTACGTTTTTGAAGCCTCCAGGCCTCCCGCTCCTGAGAGGTGGAGTCATAGCTGTAGTAGTGCAACAGGAAGGGCCACACCTCGCCACGGATGGATGGATCAATGCCACCGAAGAAGATGGCCTGGCGGAGAGTGAACAAACAGAGTGAGCACAAAGGGCAAACAGGGCACCACAGCAAAGGGATCTAATAGATGAGAACATATCCAACTGTATGCAGACAGTAGTGTAGATGGGACAGACTACACTCAACCCCCCCTTACTGAGCTACAGTTGATGTGAGTGTTGCAAAATACTGCAAAAATGAAACTCAAACACTCTGTAATGTGCATGTCCAGCAAAAACAGTGATCTTCTGTTCCTGCATTTGAGTATTTACTAAGGAAGTGTCTTGGTCACAATCTAACTGCCACTGAGTCATTTCAGTAAAATGGTAAACCTTCAGTTGAGTCAAACACAGAATACTGAAATGACTCACAGGGGGACATTGGCCAAGACCAACCCTCCCCTTATTTACAGACTGGGGATGCAGATTGAAACCGAAAGCTATACACAATGGGGATGACTTTCAAAATGACTTTCCACTGATTCAGAGGAAAGAAAATGTGACGTTATAGACAGCAGCAGGTGAGGCTGATGTGTAGACCCCTACAGGATTGTAAAAACATGCACACACACAGACAATACCTTGCGTAGCTTATACTCTTCCTCAACCTGCCCACTGTGGTTGAGGTGACGCAGCCAGGTGGTGACGTCCAGCCGCCGATAAAGCTTCTCCTCTGGGTGGGTCTCAGCTGACGGCAGGGTGGGCCTCTGGATGGAAAATTGCATGCAGGATTTCTCAACTGACACCTGATGGAAAGAGTGAAAATTTGAATAAATACTTAGGACAAAAAGCTGAAATATTCCTTCATTTCTCAATACAATTTGAGGCCAAACAGGCATATTTGGACTGTAACCCGACCTGGTCTTTAAGCTGAGTTTCCCTGCAGCACTTCCACTGTTGGAAGACCTCAGCCAGCTTCTCCAGGCCAGCATGATGGAAGTGGAGAATTTTATATTGGCTCTCTCTGCTGGCTATCACCAGCTGGCCACTGGTACATGCCTCATCGCTGCAACAGCACAACAGAGAACACACAGATTTAATAACAAATTTGAAGGAATGTGTTAAATATTTTTTTTATTCCTTACTTCTCATGGTATCTACTCTACTACTTTTTAAAAAATGATCATAAAACAAACCAACACCTGTCCTGAAACAACACATTGTGACACATTGCACTCAGTACTCCTGGCTGACCTGAAGAAGAGTCTCAGCGACCTCATGTGACCCAAGTCCACCCTGAAAACGCCACACAACTGCTCCAGAGCCAGCACCTTTTGCTGCTCCTCCCACCGCGCGCCCTGTGACTGGCCGCTGCTCTCAGAGGGTGCGTGGCTGTCCAGACTGGAAGCCGAGCTTGCGGAGTGGGTCATGGACTCCTCGCACAGCTCCCTGGTAAAAAAAACAAAACAAAAAGCCCCAACATTTCTATGAATTACAATTTAATTTGGAACTTGATTGTACTAAAGAAAAGTGAGTAATGTTTTCCAGGAAATTAGAAGGAATGAGACTTCAGGGTTTATACCTTCTGCACTAAAACTTCTTCTTTCCTGTGCCATTCTTCTATGTGAAACATGATTAATAAACAACGTGTAGACAGTGGCCAGCGGCGTTTGGCTCAGTGATAACTGCACAGACATATAGGCTTATCCAGAGCTCAGTTCTACCCTGTTGTTTTGCGTCTCAATACGGTTCAGCAAAAAGGCTGAGAATGGGAGGAATGCATGGAGGCTTCTGAGGACACACACACACACACACAAGGAAATCTGTACACACACAAATCACACTGTCTGCCGTCCAATTTCCCCTGTCATTCCCCCCATGGCCAGCATGTTGTTCCCGGCACTGAAACCTGAGCCGAGGGTTCCTCTGCTGCGGGAGGAACACACTACATATATATGAACAGAGAAACACACATACACAAGCACAGAACACAGACAAAACAGATGAAACTGTGTATGTGGCCAACACACATATGAATCCAAACACACACGTTCTTTAATTATTAGAATCACTACCTTGCATGTTCAATGTCTTGCCCTCTTCTCTCTCTCTCTCTCTCTCTCTCACACACACACACAAACAAACACACACACAGTGAATGGACCATAGCTAATGACCATAATGCACTCTCAAACACGTCTCAAGACATGCTAATGCTGAGAAACAGACCAACACAGAAATGCATTTAACCCGCTGACATTTGAGAAGTGGATGTCTAAATGAAGTTATTTGCTTACTAACTACTATCAAATGCACTTATTGGCTATTTAGGAAATGAAAACCAGAAGTCATTCAATTAGAAAATGTAGTTTATTATTATTATTATTATAGATAAATCCTAGAACTGTTTCTCCCTCTGCTTTGAGTCAATGGGTGAATTTAAAAGTATCCTTCTGTACAATGACACACCTTTAACCCACATAAACATATTCTCAGGTTAAGACAAGTGGCATGTTGGTAAATTGAGGGAGGGAGGCCAAGTCTAATCTATTACACCCTGAATCAATCATGTCTGGCTAATCATTTCCCCGTTAGCAGATGGGAAAATAACAAGGCTGATCAATCCAAGCTGCACAGTTTCCTCTCCTATCTAGTGATTTACTGCTCTCTGTCTCATGTATCACGCCACAAACCAGACTGTGGAATAAAAGGAGACTGGGAGAGAGGCACAGAGGGCTCTGGAGAGAGAGTTCAGCAATCTGAAATATGGAGGAGCGCCTTTAAAAAAGACTACTGTACTTGCTTTTTCATAACTCCAATGAATGTCAAGCCCACAGTGTTAACAAGGCCTATGAGTCAATTTACTGCAGACATTTCCTTCACTCTTCTCGCATGCTTTTAAGCCCATGTGCAAAAAAACATTTTGCATATATTTCCGCGTAGAAATAAAAGTGCACAAACCATGGAAAACGTGGCGAGAAAGCACATGATTCTTGGCACTATAGCAAGGATCGTCCACTATGTTGCATCCAAGCGGAAACTCAATGACTGATTAACAACGTCTGTCAGTGTCAACAGCCCGATTCTGTTCATGTACTGTAGGCAGCAGCCAAGTCATAAACTGTACAGAGAGTACATTATGTAAACAAGCTGTTTTGATGGAGTCAGGCTGCTGCAACCAGCATGTCCCACCAGATCAAACTGCCCCGAGGCCCTTCATAACACCTCTCTCCACATACATGAGGCTTTGCCCTTGGGGAAGGTGCTGCCAGGTCACCCTGAGAACCAGGACCAAGTGCTACAGGCCTCCAGGGACTCCCAGGCCCTTCAGCTAATCCCTGGTGGGGAAAACAGAGAGATGAGGGAGGGTGAAGGGGGTGGTGTGGGCTCTGCAGGCGCACACTGGAAAGTGGTCACTACAGTTCGGAGTTCGGATGAAGGAGAAAAACATCTGACATTTGACTTATTTATTGATTTATTGATCACGCTGTATTCTAATAATCCCAGAACCCAAACGGCACACATTCAAGTCAGGTGTATACTTTTCCAGGATTTACTAGGCCTCATAGGAAGGGAGGGCAGGACCCTTAAAACAGATTGATAAAGATAAATATGAGGGGTCCTAAGATTATTACAGTGTAAAATGATCTTCTTCATCTTTTATTACTGATTCTTATTACTGATTATTATAATTGATTCCAGATACCTGCAATTAAAATAGATGATTTAAGGCATTTAACTAATTATGTGACCAATTGGCTGCACCAGTCATGATTATATGTGTTCTATTAAATGAGGGGTGTAATTCATTTACAGATCTTATTTGTACAGATCTGTTTTCACTTTGACATTAAAGGCTCTTTTTCTCTTGATCTGTGTCATTAACTCTACTGGGCAACAAATGTTTGGCACTATAACAGAATACACAACATTTTTCTGCTACATAAAGTTAATATGTTTACTCGTTTATTTTGCCTTCTTCAGGCCTATAAAACTCAAATCAATACAGAAATTACAGGAAAGAAACTGTATGTAACCAATGATAAGTGGTTGAAAGAAGAAACTGCTTCATTTTAAAAAGGTGCAACAAGCCAAGAACTTTGGAAACCACTTATCTGAGATATAATCACATGTTAAAATCCTGCAAGTAAAGCCAGTACACACTGACAGTCACCAGTGGTTTCATAAACTACTGTTAAAACTTGAAAGAAACTTGTTAAGAAGCTTGACAGAGATTGCTGTGGATTTCTCTCCCACCACTCTCCTCTTTCTTCCCCCTCTTTTCATCCACTCTCGCTCTCCCATACGCGGTTCTTTCTCTCTGAATGATTCCAAGTGACATGTTTCCAGTTCCTGGCCCCTTAACAGTGTCAATTAAAGCAAGAGAGAGAGAAAGAGAGATTGAGTGGGTTCCAGGGTTTTGGCTGCTGCTCCGCTCTCTTCAGTGCTCTAATCCGGAGAGCTGACATTCAGCCCAGCACAACAACCCCGGGAGCACTGAGAATCAAAGGGCTTCACACAGACTTTAGTAAGGGAAGGGGAAGGGGGGCAAGATATTTGAGAGGTGGGCAACACCAAAAGAAACAATATTGAGAAAAACAGAGAGAATGAGCAAGGAGAAAAGATGCAAAATACAGTGGAAGGAATAGATGGATGTTAGGCTAGAAGAGAATCCAAGAGAAGAAGGGAAAAACAGGCAAAAGAGAGGATAGATACGACTGCCAGAGAGACACTAACAGCGAGTGGAGCACAGAGGGCGCGGAGGAAGAGAAGGACAGAGTAAAGGTTAGAAGCTGTGAAGCAGACACCGCTGCCAAGTCACACACTGACTGCACTTACAGAAAACTGGGGTCTGAGAGTGGTTAAAAAAAAGGCTTAAACACACACTGACTCGTTTTCTCTCTCTCTTTCTCCTTGACACACACTCACACATTCTGGGCAAAATGTCAGGCCAAATAGCTGCGTGAGGAAACAACCACGGAGGGAATCATAAAGTCAAACGGCCGTGAGGTCCGAACAGCAACACAATCGCTGTCCAGATGGCTCGCTTGATTAGAGAACAGTCTCTGGAAGCACTGAGGTTTTGGGGTTTGTGGGATTTGGGGACTTATTTCGGGCCATCTGTGATATTATAAAAAATTTAGATTAAGAGCTGCTTTATGTGAGTGGACCCATCTTGAACTCTACTAATGTTTCATGCCTCCTACTGAAGTCATCTACCTGCTGTCACTCCCATGGGACATTCAGTAGTGCAGTAAGCCACCATGTGGCCTCAAAGTGAAATCCATCCCTCATGCAATCAATTCTTTTCTTTTTGGCTCCACCTTGTGGCAGCTTAGAGTAACTGAAAAAGGAACAAACAGCCATCTGGGTCACTGCTACTATTGCATGTCAGTCAAGGTTTCTCAGATGAAAGCTGTTGACATTTTCTGTCTGGAAGCATAGAAGCAATTACACATCCTGTCCACAGAGTGGGGTGCAGCCAGAACTGGATCTGTTCTATGTGGCAGTGTGCTCAATTCCACATAATATCAAATAAAAGAAGCATGTAGACTGAGAAATGTGTCTTTGTAGTGCTTTAAAACAAACAAACAACTTTACACTATCTTACAGCACACAGGGGATTTATATTTCTTCCATAATCCCTTAAATCTGTTTGACAAAAATAACATAATAATAATGATTATTTTTTTTTGTCTGGAAAATACATCACACAAGTCATAACATCAGACTAGTCTTCACTAGAGACCATATATACTGTATATCTTTGCACTGAGGCTGTGTCCTCTAGACATTTTACTTTACATTTTACATGCAGTGAGTATTTTGTAGGCTGATTCCATGTTTTTCTCCCAATATAATCACATTTGACTGCTTTTAGGGCAGCAAAAGCAACTATGCAGCTGTTCAATGAATCTAACTTTTGAATGTTTGATGAAATCTTACACAATGTGAAGTAAATTGGTATTTTTTCCTGTATAAAAAATAATTTGTCTGTTCTCTGACTTTTAAATAAAGCTTCATCATGCTTTGTTAAAATATATTTAATTTAATTACAAGTGGGTCACCAGTAAAGGCCTGGAGGTTAATACAAAAGAAAATTATTACAATTCAAATTGCAGTCAGAATCTCTGTCAGCCCTCATCATCATTTTGAAAATGTGATTTAGTTACTTTGAAGCTGACATCATTTTTCATGTTGTGTTGTGTTCATGTTATCTAGTCCTCTTCCATCCATAAGGATAACTGCTGTTATGCAATCACAAAGGTCACACAGAATTAAACTGTATTCAATTCAACAGCAATCAGCTGCATGTGTCGGTTTTGACAAAATTCCTGACAATTACAGTTTTATATGTTTTACAAACCCTAAAATGATGGAACTACTACAACAAATGCTTTTTTGTTATTTGACAGAACAGGATCTGCTCTTAAAGGACCAGTGTGTAGGATTTAGTGGCATCTAGTGGTGAAGTTGCAGACTGCAACCATTTACTATTTTAATACAGTTCAGCCTTCCAAGCATGTAGAAGAAACTGTGGTGGCCACAAAACTTGAGAAAAACATGTAAGGCCCCATCTAGAGCCAGTATTTGCCCTTTCTGGGCAACTGTAGAAACACGGTGGTTCGACACGGCAGACTCCGTTGAAGAACAATCTCTGAACAATCTCTGTAGATAAAAATGTGTCATTCTTAGAAAACGAAAAACACAACAACCCTTTTTGTCATTCTTACAAACTAATGAAAACATCCCTACGAATATTATATTCCATTTCTGCCAACAGATCCTCCTAAATGTTACACACTGGAACGTTGAGGTGTTCCTCACCGAATCGAAGTGGCAGTAAAAGATTCAGCAGCGAGCGTAATTAGACCCCAAAGGGCTATACAGACCAGAACCCAACTGAGCTATCACTGGGATATTAAATACACATAAATGTACAAGGCAAGAAGACGCTGCTATCATAAAGTACAGGGCTGGAACAGCTGACATCATGTCTTTTACGGCTCCACCAGATTTATTGTGGTACTTCAAGGAATTTCCAAGGCCACAAAGTGTCAATTAAAGAGGTAAATTCACAAATACTCAAAATTATGAGATGTTGTCAAAGGAATTATAATATGAAGCATGAGACTGGCGAAGAGGAACAGCAGTCATAATAGGATGTGACACTGACTATGTTAAACAATTACATATTTATTTAATTATACTTGAATTGGTCAGTTATAAGACTCCCTTATTAGGGTACTATAACCCAAATATAGCAATAAAAACATTCGTTCTTTTAATGTTTTTTTGTCTGACATTATAGAGGCAGACAGGAAATTAAAGAGACTGGCATGACATGCATCAAATATCCCCTGTGGCACTGCGGTTATATAATATGCACCATAACTATTTGGCTACCAGCGTGCCCAACACATGACAACTTTTGATAATATGTGTGACGGTGGCACAGTTGTGACTGAGGTGGACAAGATTTCCCACCGCTGAGTGACAAAACAAATACTAAACTTAACTCTGCTGAGTAAAAATAAGAATATAGATCACGAATAAAGCCCATTCAACCCTCTCACTGACCTGCTTTCGCTGTCCAGGAAGACGGAGCCGCTGCTCTCGCAGAGGGCCTCGCTGACGGGGGACAGGCAGAAAGGCGAGGAGAAAGTGTCCGAGTCCGAGCCCATGGTGCTGTCCCGGCTCACTTCGTCTGACAGCTCGCAGGACCCCTCGTCACCCTCCTCCCCCGCCGAGGGCAGCTGCTGCGGGTGTGAGGAGGGATCCGCTCCTGCCTCTACCACCAGGCTGTGGCTCTCTGTGGAGGTGCTGCTGGTAATGTTTCTCTCCTCATCCTCATCCTCCTCCTGGGCAGCTGGGTGACGGGAGTGGGGTCTGAGGGGAAACGGTTGGTTTTAAACACCATCGGTACCGTGTATAATAATGATATAAGGCTGCACACTCAGTTTGTTCATGTTTTTAATCTCAGTGTAGCTATGGTTTTCATCCTGTGACTGCATGACTTTAAGGAGTGTTCTTCAAGAGAAGTATCATTCTTTTTAAAAGACCCAGAGAATACACATTTTAAGAGATGGCTTTCCTACCGTCGGCCTCTGCGGCGTGCGTTCCTGCGTACAGGGGAGCTCTCAGGCGTGATGTAACGCAGCGCCTCCTCATCCTGCCTCTGGATGCGGGAGTTGGGCACCCAGGTCAGAATCAGAGTGGTGCCCAGGCTTTCATCCTTCTCCGTGTGCACGCACAGGTAGCCTGCAGGGGGCAACATAAACCAGTTAGTACAGTAAGGGATAATTATGGTGAGAAAAATGAGGTAACATCTGAGGAACAGGTAGGAAGGGGAACGACTTTTTATAAGTAGCCGGCAGCTGCAACCCAAAGACAAACAGAGACGAACACAAAGAGATGACGACACAGATGGAAACCTGAGAGGTAGCAATCTTGCAACACACGCACGGGCGATGATCACGGGAGATAAGGGATGGAGAAATTAAGGAAGTGCTGTTAATGTTCATACCAGGGAAAGATAGGAGAAATGTTGACAGTAGCAAGTGTAAAAGCCTGAATTTCATCTGGCCAACAGCTGTGAACATGCTGTGTGTCTGAGACTTATTTTTAATATCTTAGCAGTTAGAAAGCTCGACTTCTGTATTTTTGAGTCCTGTTCACGGTTGGGAAGCTGGTGAGGGATTCCCACTGCACCTCCACTCACACACAAAGAGGCACAACAAGAAAGACACTTTCAACATGAGTCCGGCCTAACCTGGGTGGTGCTCTGCCAAGCCCGGCAGGGGCTCTGCAGGGTGCACGCAAACATTATTTTTGGAGAAGATGATCTCGCCGTCCAGGCCCGAGCGCAGCGATGTGCCCCCCGCCCCAGGGTTAAAGGTCAGGAGGTCGGAGGCCTTGGAGGAGGCACGCCGCAGGAGCCGACCCAGAGACATCTCCTCAGGCACCGGGACACTGGGCCCATCCTCTGGATATTTGGGAGTAGAAGAGGGAGTTTGAGGCAGAGGAGGGGAGGCCGTGATGGAAGCGGCATGCGAGAGAGAGAGAAAAGAGAAGGGCGAAGGACATGAGATAAAAAAGGAAACACGATAGAAGGAAAGCGTGACACACCTTGGCATTATAAGACTGCACAGATCCTCACCTACATTTCACCTCCTCTGTCACATGTATGGCTGTATTTACTGCAGTGTCCTTACTGCAGAATCCCCTCTCCCCTCTGTACTTGTTCAGCATTTCCCTGTGCCCCATTTTCTTTACTGCCACCTGCACCCACTAACACAAACACATTCACAGGATGTGTGGATACTGTACTAGTGTGCCATTAAACACGTCCCACCTTCTGTAAACAACACTCACACACTCACACACCAGTGTGTACACACACAAAGACATGAGCAAATACACTTCACTCCATCCGTGTGAAATTCCGAGCAGTTATCAGTAGCCGACAGATGTAGTCAACATCAGCGCCGAACTGGGATCAGCGTGTCACACCACCAACATTTAACTCGTCTGCTTCAGAGAGAAAGTCTCATGCGATGAAACAAACTCCGAGTCGAGCAAAAAGGAAAGCAGCTCTTTTAAAGTTGCAGCATGGTGTGTTGCTGAGGGGTTTTCTTCTTTGAAAAGGCGCAGTGGGAATCTTACTTTTTCAGGCTAAAAAAAAAAACTGAAAGCAAATAAAGTCAAACTTTTTTTGCTCCCGTTCGATGACCACACTTCTAATTCAATAATGTCTTTTATCGTGGGTGTCTGTATCTGTGGACCCACTTCATGTACGTTGTTTTCTTGTTGGCTGAACGACACGTACTCCCCGCTCCATTTGAGGAATGTTCCCTTCTTTTTCCTCAGAGGGCATGTTTACCTCTGCCTGATTAAGCAGGCACCCCACTTCCTGATGCCAGGCCCCAGACAGGAAGTCTGCTGGCACGACATCCAGGCATGACCTCGGAGCAGAGACTTACCGTAGGCCATCGTTTGGCTTACTTTTAAAAAAGGTGGGTGTTTCTTTGGCCAGAGTTTCACCATTCGCGCGGTGCATCTTGTAAAAAGAGCTGCTCTTTCTTGCAGATGTCAATAATCTTGGGCAGCAACGAGGTTATTTTATCTTCTACGTTTAGTGTATCAGATGTCAGAACACTTTGCCAAAGGAGGCATTTTCCCTTCCAAAACCCAAAGATATTCAATTTAAAAAACAAACCAAACCAAATCAGAAAATCATCACATTTAAGAATCTGGAGCCAAGTTAGAGGCTTTTTTACTTTTTTTTTACTGAAACAATTGGAAGAGTTATTGTTAAATTTTATTAATGTCAACTAATTATTTAATCTCAGCAATAATCAGTCATTAATGATGTCGACAGCACTGATTTTTATGTTTTCAGACATTTTTTCTGTTGTGCTTAGTTTGAAAACGTATCTAAAACAGGATGTAGTTTTAAATATTTGCTTAAAAAAAGTAACCACTCCTCTATCCGGAAAGACACAACATTAGACTACTACTGAATGTTAGCGGCCACTGTAAGCGGCTTTTTAAAAACGCTAACTGCTTCAGTAACACCGGACTAATGCAAATAGGACAAACACAGTGTCCTCATACTCTGAATTTCTTGCAAGACACACACACTCTGAACAGAATGTGCATAATGACAGGCTGGAGGCTCACACATGTCACAAAGCTGTTTCCAGTAGCCTCATAACAGCAATAACATATCTGCCGCCGTGCTACTAACCAGTGGTTATTTTGGTCTGTATGTGATTACAGGGCCACTCGGGTCAGTTTGATAGGGCTTGTTCAGACTGGCTGTTTAAGAACATTCATCTTTTATGCTGTCAACACTTCGGTTTGCTCACACTCTCTGACCTTTCTCACTGTTTCATAATATCTCATCCTTAAACCCAGTCTAGTCTCACTCTGACCTGCAGAAAACTTTTTATAACCTTTTAACAGACTGCCTGCCAGAAAGATAGCTTTTAATGTGAACCTGAAACCCACGCCATGGAAATTCAGCTGCGAGTATAGAAGCCACAAACTCTCAGGGTCTCAGCTTCTCACCTCTGGGCTACATTAATTAAGTTGTCACGCTGACATTTGAATAGAGGAGCCAATGCTGAACCCCTTTACGTCTGCGCTGTATACTGACGTGCCTGGGGCTGCTGAAAGGAGAGCAGCCACAAAGAAGCTTGAAAAACAAGGTTCTTGCGGACTCAAACGCCGGGGTAAGTTATGAGGAAACTTAACGGGTGACTCAGTGGGAGTGTGTGTAGACTTTTAAGGCTGTGCTACATCTGAAGATACATACTAAAGCATATAAAACATAGTTCATCTTTCAGGACTTGCGTGTTATGCGGAGCTTTGTGTCATAAAGTAATACACTGTGTGCCTTAAAATTGAAAACAGGAGATTCATAATATTTGAAGATATTAAACTCATTATTTCTGCAGTATTGAGTGAGTTTGACATTTAACTGGTGACTTCCTTAAGGAAAAAAAGGTGAGTGCACACTTGTGTTCTGTGTTAAGTGTTTTCCAGTTCTACACTCATAAAACTTTACTAGAGCCTAATGGATCATTTTGAGGGGCTGATATTAGCTTATCTCAGATATATTGATATCAGCATCAACTGATAAGCAACAAGAAAGCTTGAGGAAGTTTAGAAACAGCAATGCCATGAGATACAGTAAATTCCCTACCAGAAGGCAGTGACAAGTTTATTTTTAAACTCAGTCTATTGTGGACAGAAATGTAAGGGATCCTTGTTTAAACTGTTTGTTTATGGCACGTGTTCATCTATCATTAGCTGTATATTTCACATATATAGGGGCAGTAGAGTAAAGTATAAAAACCTTACATAGCAGTGCAATCCAACACAAGACCCCCACAAACTACAGCCTCCATGAATGAAACATTTTAGGTAGTATTTATGAAGAAAACTGCATTGCAATGTACAGGTATTTACATTATACTGCTCAGTCTGGTGTATGCAGTGAATTCAGGTGAAAGGTGTGTGAGCCCTCATACATACAGCGGCTGAAACTCTACCAAAATTTAAAAAAAAAAAAGGGCTGACAGAAGGTGTCCTCTCAGTATAGTAACAGTGCAGCCAGTGTAGCAGAGGCGTGCCATAATGTCGGTGGGCTCCCATCAGCCCATCACTACAGCGAGCCTGACAGCCAGCATCCGCCTGGCAGGAGGAGAGGGAGGATGGGACAAGGCTTTTGCCACCACAGCACTATTTACACACAGGCCCCACACTAATATACAAATATACTGTGTGTGTATGTGGCCCGAGCATGGACTCTCCATCTGTACCATCTTACATACAACATAAATATTTCAGTTCAGCTGCCGAGACCATGGCCGAAACCCTCAGCTGGGGGTAACTACATTTCACCGTGTCAGCGTTTGCAGGGCAGGGCAACTTTAAAGTTTGTTTTTACCACTAAGAGACAACAGTGTGTCGGGAGAGATGTGTCCGTTTCTTGCAACCTGTTCCAGCAGGAGAAAATGAATGAATAGCAGAGCAGCGTGTAGAGACAAAACGGGGACAAGCGGCTCACCTTCAGTCCCGCCGCAGAAGTCTACAGCCCATGTCGGACATCCATCTCAGCGGGGGAGCCGGGGGACCGAAGCAGCGTGCGCCGGCGTCGTTTCACCGCCTTTCTCCCGGATTTAGCTCAGTTGTTACGAGCTGTAGTCTTGTTTGTATCCCTGTGTTTTCCGACAGTGACACCACACGCTTGACTGCTGCTCTCTCCACGGCAAAAAAAAATGACACTTCCGGTTTTAGCTTTCAAAATAAACGCTCGTTTCGGGAGAAACGCGGTGTTGGCGCTTTAATTTGTAAGCCGAAGTTGTCTCACTTCCTACAGCTACTTGGTCGTGTTGTTTGTAACTTGACTGAAGAGCTCCCAGACCAATCCCCCCGAAATTTCGCTGCTTCCGGAATGTCAAAGGCTTTTTTCTATCACAGCAACCGGGAATTTTAGATTTCACATTAAAAACACGGAGGGATACCAGGTCATGATTGCAGTTATAATATAAACTAATATATTTTACATTAACCTAAGTCATCATTCAAAGATCTGACCCTTTTTCATCATAAGTGACGTTTTAAAGGTCACTGGCAAACGCTTGAATGCAGTTGGTCCATCATCAGGACCAGAGCTGGAGTCAGAGCATCCCGCCTCACAGCTGCTGGAGGCTTTACCTGTCCCCTTAAACCCTGTTTTAAAAAATCCTGACTCAGAATTTAATATTAGTTTTTATTTTGGTGATTCATCATTTCAGAATCAGAAATCAGAATCAGAAATACTTTAATAATCCCAGGGGGAAATTATTTAAATTATTTATATATAATTATTCAATATATACTGCACAATGATTGCAGTACATGTAAATGTTATAGTCTGGGGGCATAACCACACTCATCCACTAAAAACCATTTGCCTATTAACACTTTTTCTGAACAATTTTGTCAAACATTAACGATATAAGTTGGTATAATGGATCTAATTTCAGACAAAAATGTTTTAAGACTAGAACGGTACTCAGAGAGCACTGACATCTGCCAAGGCCAGATGGCGAGTCCAACATGTCTTCTATGATATACTAATCTGCACACCATTCACTTTGATAAACACCATTCACTTTGATAAACCTTTTTCACAGCTGCCATTTTGACATGAAATAGTACGGTAATCAGAGGTGTTACCAATGATACTAATTTAGGTTCTGTTCCATTTAGTGTAGCAGAGACTTTCTAGTGAGCCAAAATGCACAAAAGCAGCACCTATCTTTTTTCACAATTTTTATTTATAATGCACTTCCGTAACAAAGATTTATATAAACATAATTGTAAAAAATACAAAAGAGGTTATAAACAGTTGTCTTGATTCAGTGTGGCAGTTAGCAGCAGTAAAAAATACCTAGCAAGAAAAAAACAGATACATCAAGATGATGGTTCCCTTTGTTTGATAACATCACTTTTTAAAAACCTGTTTCTTACAAAGCACTACTTTCTGATTTGGACAAAGAGGTGGAGCAAGAGTCAGGTGCATCTTGAACTCTGGGAGTTTTCAGCAGCAGTGAAAAGTGCAAAGGCTCCCAAAGGTTATTGGGTAACAAGGTTCAGTGCATCAGAGAGCCCACTGAACTGTAAACACCTTTGTCATAGGCAAAGCCAGGCTGGTCACTGTCAAAACCTGTGGGAAGAGACAGACACAGAGTCCGGCAGACAGAACGGTTTGATTTTTTGGCACAAACACACTTATCTGCAGAATAACATCATTATCTGTCTGAGGACAACAAATACTTAAGTAAAGTGACGTAGTGCTGAGTCACACAGAACTCACCTTGGTGTCACTGCGGTATGTGAAATCCCTGACTTTGTCCCCATTGGCTAATACATAGAGGGGTGGCGAGGGTACCCCGAACACCTGCAGCCCTCCCAGCACCAAACCGTCGAGGGCTCCATTAAGCCTAAGAGGATCACTCACCACCTGAGACTGAAGAGGACATTTAGGGACAATTAAAATGTTTCTTTGGTCTAAATCAATCACAAAAAGAGATCAGTAAGCATTTAAACTTAACTGTATCATTAGGTAGAGGACTTTTGGATCAACTAGTAGTAGTAGTAGTGCAGTAAAATGCAAAACACAGCCTTGTCAGCTTTCCCAATGCAAATATCACTTATCTCTTCCCTACCTGTCCAGCAATGAAGAGAACGTAACAATAATTTCCCATTTCGAAGTTGTCAAGACTGTCTCCGTCATCCCAGAACAAGTCGCCCCGGGCCCAGCCGCCTGCTGACAGTGCCACCGTCAGGAAGAAAGGGTTTCTGCGTGAGGCTGTGGTTGTCAAAGCAGGCTCCTTCACAAGAAAAGGCAGGTCGAAGAAAACACGAGAAAATGATGAAATCAAGTGTTTCAGCTTTAAGACGTCGATCTGGATGTTATCATTGTTATAGTTCAACACAGCCTGGTACGTTTGATCGTGTGCATCCATGTCACAGATCATTTTACTGAAAACTGAGGTTACTGCTGAAATAAAGCAACAATTGTTTTTAGAAAAATACAAATGTCCAATTAAATTAAGCCTACATTTTAATCATCAGCAAGGAACTGTGCTGAATATCAAACTAAGCCTAACCAAGAGATGTACTGCACTGATGGCAGTAAACTATAATATTTGTTTTAATAGCTACAGTCACTGCTGCACACTGCTTGTTTATTTTACACCGGCCTCAAACATGATTCAGCTAAATAGAATTGTAAGTAGGATTTCTAAGTACTTGTTTCACCGGTTTCAATTATGTTTTGCAGGTTTTCTCATCCTCAAACGTTTTATTAATAATTCATCTCTACCACATTTGTCTACCACTGAACCAAAATGATAAGCGCTAGGCTCAGCAAAATGAGCTGCATATTGACACCCACCTGCTGGGGGATAATGTGTCCCTCCCTCACATGGACGTTGATGGTTTCTAGAGGGGCCGGCAGGAGCAGGTACTGACCTTTACTGTAGAAAGGCTGACCCTGGAGGGCAAAACACAAATCACCATGTAGATACTTCAGACATGCGTTATCACTGAAAGCCTCAAACATGGTGGCCTTTAACAGTAAACAAACAAAAATGATTGAACTTTTGGCTTAAGGCTCCTATGTGCGAGTGGTATTGTGAGACTGTGGTACAGGGTTGTGCGACTCACATTGTGCAGGCTGTACCAAGTGCCAGGGGGCAGGTATGCAGCCAGTTCGACTGCCCCTTGCTCTAAGACTGGGCTAATGAGAAGCGAACTCCCCCACAGGAACTGTCGGTCTATGGTCTGACTGTTAGGGTCCGTGGGAAACCTGAGCGGGATAGAAAAAAAGATAATATTATAGAACGCGAAGGATATCGTCTTAATCATTTAATTTACGTAGTATAATAGAGGATAGAGAAGAAAGGACATACTCCACGAAGAGAGGCCTGGCCACAGTATCAGCAGTGGCGTGTGCATGATGGAAGAGTGTGTAGAGGAACGGGAGAAGGGAGTAACGAAGGTTCAATACACTTCGCATGGCTGCCTGGGCCTTTTGCCCAAATACATAGGGCTCTTGAGGCTGCGGGACACAGACACACAGAAAAACAGACAATGAGAAGATATAGAGTTACCTCTATTTATAATACATGAAACAGATGGACTGCTCTAGACGCAGTGGAAAAAACATACAGGGCAGACCAAACACACAAACATTGTCTCTGTCTTACAGCGTTTGGCTTGTCATTGTGGTTTCTCATAAATGGGTAGAAGGCCCCAAGCTGCATCCATCGCACACACAACTCCTCAGTGGTGTTGCCTCCAAAGCCACAGATGTCCGCCCCCACAAGGGGCACGCCGAACAGGCTGAACTGCAGCACCGCTGTGGGGGAAAGAGAGGGGTGCAAAAGGTCAGTTTAAATCTATCAAATGATCTGTGGTCACTTCAAAAAGGTCTTTCTGATGGTTTGGTTGAACATTTTATTCTATCATATACAGATCTGTCATAAACCATAAAGTGAGACCATCTCAAGCCAATATGCCAAAACTGAATAGCCACTGAAGAACTGTGAAAATGTTTGAACATAATAACAACACCACATCTCCTCACCAGGGATGGAGTATCGCATCTGCTCCCAGTCACTCCTGACGTCCCCTGTCCACACTCCAGAGAAGCGTCCGATGCCAGGGTAGGAGGAGCGAGACAGGACGAAGGGTCTCTTCCCTCGTACCTTCCTAAGAGCACTGAGGATGGCAGTGAATCCCGGGATTTAAAACAGCATACAAGACAAAGAACAAAAGAACAACTTAGCAGCATTCTGTGGTGTCACATTGAGCTCCAGCAAAGTGAAATTGGTAGGTTCTCAAAGAAAGTCTATCATTTTACACACAGTCAACCATGCAAGAGCAATTTTAATTCCCATGAGCTGTACCACTACTTAATACCACTACATACACTATGTTTTGCTCATGTGACACATTGTTGATCCACTTTTAAGCTAAGCTAAGCTTTTAAGCTTAAGCTATATGACTATGTGGTAAAAAATGTATTACTTCTTTGTCAACTGATGTCAAAAGATTTGACTTTGTTTTTGTTACAATGGTGTATTACATAAAATGGCTTTTGCAAACTGCGTCTGATCGCCGCATGGTCTAACCTGTGCGTGGCATAGGCTTCTGTCAGTCCATACATGTTGTGCAGGTTGTAGTGAGTGGACAGCTTCTGCTGAGCCGACATACAAAGAGTTCCTGAGTTCAACTGGCCTCCAACCACTACTGTTTGTATGACAGTCAGAGAGACACACAGGCTACAACTTTATGCAACACACAGATGGGTGACAACTTAAAGGAAAAAACAACACAAACCTACAAGTGTCTGGAACCCTCTCCATCCTCCCATAGGTATTCAAATTGATTCACATAATTTTCATTCTTTTCAAACCTTTCCTTGTGTCCTGTATGAAAGCATCTGCCATTTGCCATGTTTCTCCACTCATTCATTCAGGTTTTTCCTTTAATTTGCCACCAGTCTCTATGTAGCAATGAATTAAGTAATGTATCTAAAGTATATACATAACGTACTTTAACATATAAACTGACTATAAATGTAAAACCAATAATGTTTGCATGCCTTTAAATGGTGCGACACTGATCCAGTACACTTACTGGGGGTGTAGGGCGGGTTCTCAAGATCACTGTCAGGACAGCCCTCCACTGAGCCCTGCACAAAACTGGCTGGTTCATTCATGTCCTGGGTGAAGCACAGGAGAAAAACAACAGAGATAATATTATTCGCTATGTCATTCTAAGGCACCAACAAACTTAACTAAACACTCAACCACAAAACCATGTACACATTCCAGAACTGGAAACCTGACATAGCTGATGTCTTAATGTTACTGTTGGTGGCTAAATAACCTGTACTCTGTGTGTGTGTGTGTGTGTGTAAATACTCACAATCCACAGACCATCCACAGGAACTTTAGAATGAAAATCTCTGATGCAGTCCTCCCACCAGCTTCTGGTCTCTGGGTTGGTGAAGTCTGGGAAGGCTGTTGGGCCCGGCCAAACCTGGATACACAGTTTGGGAATGTGTATGACATACACACCTCAAAACAGAAAATCATACATCCCTAGCATAAAAAAATGTGTCTAACCTCCCCTATCAGGATGTGTCCTGTTGCATTTTTAATGAAGACGTCTCGTTTCAGTCCATCATCAAAGGGCGAGTAAGTTCCAGGGGGGCTAGTGCTGCTGATCCCAGGGTCCTTAGGCAGAAACCAGGAGAGTGTTACTCAAGTCAAGTCACAAGTTAAGAAAGGTTTGCCGCCATCTACTGGAGAAACATTGTTAATGATTAAATTCAGCTCACATCACACGGTACTGTCAACAATTTGAACAACTGATGTATGCGTTGGTCCTTTTTGAATTAAATGCTCAAATATTTACTGCTGGTTAAAATTATCAGCATTATCAGTTTCTTTTATTGTTAAAGATGTCACACCAGGATGAGGATGTACTTCATGCCTCTCTCGTGGAACTCCTCCACCATCTCTGGGAGGTCCCCGAAGCGCCAGGGGTCGAAGGTGAATACCCTGCGCTTGGCTGCATAGTCCAGATCATTCCACTGCACGTCCTGGTGGTGAAAAAAAATCAAACTAATCTCAGAAAGCACAGTGATTTGATAAGGAGTCGAGTTGGGTGCGAGCATTATCCAATGCTGATAACTAAAAGTAATACATTTAAAATGTTTACATGTCAATTGGACCCACAGACACTGACAATATGTGAAAATGAATATGACAATTTTCACACATTCATTATGGTCAGATTCGTGCATAATAAATCCACTCATGTGGGAAGAATGTGAGCTTTAATTATCACTTCCATTTTATAGAGCTTTGTGAGTACTTCATTTACCATGGGAAACTTTGAATTGTGCATGCGTTCAGCCACATGTCGGGTCGTATTAGTGGTTGTGTAACCCCAGCGACACAGATGGAAACCCAGCGACCAATAGGGAGGCATCATAGGATAGCCTGGTAATAGAAAATGACAACACATAACACTCTTTTCCAGGTTGCCTCAGGACTAAATATAAATTACACACAGTGGCATGCTTTTCCATGTTTTCCACTTAAAAAACACACATTTCTCTTGTTGGTATGTGTATATGCCTACTGCTTGCTACCTGAGATGTGTTGTTAAATGACATCACTGAAAAGACACACCAATGACCTGGAGGTACTGTCGTATAACACTTTCAGGGTCAGGACCCAAGAAGACATACAGGTCCAGGATTCCTCCGATAGCCACCAAGGTGAGAGCAGGAGTCGGCTGCAACATCACCTCTACAGAGACATAAACAGATACACATACATAGATATTTAGCAATAAGTGTGTTATATGCTGAAAAAAAGAATTCTGTATGAAAAGTGAAGATTAGGAAATGGCAGTGGGATGCTATGTGTGT